GCGAGCAGTCTTGGGTGCAAGTCCAAGGTGCTACCTACCTAGGGATGGCGGGTGGTCACTGGTGTCTTTTGTCTGTCACTGTACTGTGTACTGCTGTCAGGTACCGATCCATCTGAGATGCTTCCATCTTTCCATGAGGTGTTCGTAACGCCTGACACAACGTAGCGCTACCTTAGCGCGGGACCCTTCCGTGCCAGATTCATTGTCTCTTTTTTCCTTCCTTCTTTCTTCACTCTACCCGTTGTGCCGTTCAAGAGGACCTCTCTGCTCGTTTCTTGTTGGCTCACAAGGTACCTGTCAAGTATTGCAGATTATACTTTAGGTTACCTCGAGTGCCTCATCCGGCGTCCAAGAGTAACCCCTCAAGAGAAAGGTACATCGTCCGAGAAGTACCACAAGGTAAGCCAAGTAAATGTACCTTGCCCAGCACAACACCACTACAGCAGGTTCCAGTTCGAGTTCCAGTTACAGGTTCCCACGCCCGTTTGTGGCGCGAACGCAACATCGCAATCCCACTACCATCCATTTGCTGCACCTGCAAATTTCCCCTGCACTCCCATCGTTTCCCTCCCACAACCTTTGACGCCAAATCTCGATTCCTGCGACATACTCACAATCTTCTAGTCGTTGGCGATCCCTCTTCTCTCCTAGCAAGCGCATCGTTCGCTCCTCGGCCTTCTCGCGAATTAACCGCCCCCAGATGCCCAGTTGCTCGCCAACCCTTCGAGCAATTGCATCCGCATCTGCTTCCCCTCCACCTTAAACGCCTTACACCGAACACTTCCCTCACCCCCTCCGAACCTGCGACTCTACCCACGAATACGCACCACGCAGACCGAACACAACTCGAAGAGTTCGTCGAAGAGAATCAAATCACACTACGAGAAAACGAATGGCCGTATGCCTCACGACCACGACCTCAGACACCGCTCGATGACTAGCCATACCAATGGCGCCGCATCTGCGCCGAATCCCCAGCCGGACGCTACCCTTGCGAATCTAAAGCTTGCCGACCCAGCTGCTGTCGCCGAGGCCCCCGCCCCGCCTCTGATCGTAGTCAAGAGCCCCAGCGACGCCCCTGATGCGGGCTTGAGAAGTCTCGATCATTGTACGCTGCTACACTCTCCCGGCACTGCCTTTCGCGCTGTCACTCTTGTCTTGAGCCTGGCGCATCGACAAGTGCCCCATACACCTTGCCCGTACGCAAGCCTCCAAGCCTTGAGCTGACCATGCCTGTCCACAGACAAGAGAGCGCTGCCGCCATGGCGATATCGACTGCGGCAGTCGCTGCTGCCACTGATTCGATGGGAGACACCTTACCTGGCCTATCTGCAGGAAACGATGCGCACCCCATGGCTCGATAGTTACTTTGCGATCACGGCCAACCTCGGTACTCATACATTCTTCATGATCGGTCTACCCATGCTCTTCTGGTGCGGGTACGCCTCCTTTGGTAAAGGGTAAGCATGATTCGCCGCGCACAGTTTTATAGAAAATATCTAACAAGCTGCTATCTCACAGTGTTATCCACATCCTGGCCGAGGGTGTCTTCTTCACCGGCTTTATCAAGGACTTCTTCTCTCTACCCAGACCGCTATCCCCGCCACTGCATCGAATCACCATGTCCGGATCTGCTGCGTTGGAATATGGCTTCCCTTCGACCCATAGCGCCAACGCCGTGTCAGTGGCCGTGTACGCAGTATTGCTTCTCAGGAGTCCTGAGAACGCCATGCCAGAGACAACCAAGACCGTCCTCGAGGGCTTGTCGTACTTTTATGCCATTTCTATCATTCTCGGTCGGCTGTACTGTGGTATGCATGGCTTCATCGACGTAATCGTGGGCTCGGTCTTGGGTGCTGCAATCTCTCTTGTCGAGTTCCACTACGGCCCGCCGCTGGACGCCTACATGCATAGCAGCTCATGGTGGGCGCCCGTTATCGCTGCTCTCGTCGTCATTGTTCTCGTGAGGATACACCCCGAGCCGGCGGACGACTGCCCTTGTTTCGACGACAGTGTGGCCTTTGCTGGAGTCGTGATTGGCCTGGAAATCGGAACATGGATGTATGGGCGGACTTCAATCGATTCGTTCGGAGGCTCTGCCCATACTGTTGAGTCCATTGATCTCAATGCATTGGGCTGGCACATTGTACTAGCCCGGGTTGTATTCGGCGTAGTTGTCATACTGTTGTGGCGAGAGGTCATGAAACCTACCATGCTCAGAGTTCTGCCTCACCTTTTCCGTCTCCTAGAGAAGGTCGAGTGGAATCTTCCCAGACGTTTCTTTACACCAGCGTCCATGTACAAGTCTATTGACCCGGGCTCGAGGATGGATACGCTTATTCCCAACGTCAGAGACTTGCCCCGTGTAGTCCAGTCCATTCGTCACCCGACAACGCGTGGTCGCTCAGTTTCGATCGGACCACAGAGTGCTGCTGATGCGTACGAGACACTTGCATACCGCGAGCGACGACGTCGGGAGAGCATCGGAAGCAATGGCAGCATCAAGAGCAAGGGCAGTATGCACGAGCTTCGAGAGAAGAGCAGCGACTGGGAAGGGAAGGGAGCAACGTCTGGTGTTCAAGGCCACCACGGCAATTCGCTTAACGACTTTGAGCGCATGATGGGTACGGGGAGCGTGCTGGCGAGCCCGAGCGAGGAGAAGGGAGAGGTGGAGCTGAGGGTCGGCCAACAGGATGAGATGAGTGAGAAGGAAATGTTTCTTCGACTCATCCGCCCACGAGTGCGTTACGATGTTGAGGTGGTGACCAAGCTGGTTGTTTATACAGGTAAAGCTCCATCCCTCTTCCGCATGATCCGACCTTGCTCCACATTTGCTGACAGATGCCGACAGGTATTGCTTGGCTGGGCGTCGGCCTCATCCCAATCATGTTCGAGTTGATCGGCCTTGGATCGAACCATCTCCGCACCGCGTAAACCAATCCCAGATTTTGGATGGGATACATTCTTCACGACCGCTAAGAGGGGTACCTTCTATTCACATATATCTCTTTTATAAAGTTCTTAACTTCTCGCATGGCGTATCGGCAACGTTGCACAGGAGACCTGCCGAAGGGAGGATCGAGGGGTTTGGGGAGAGAACGAGACGCATAGAACCTTTTTTCACGAAGCACGATCATATTGTACATTCTTCTGGCAATTGCATTTAGCCAGTGGCGGGGTTTTTTATTTACTTTTATGACGGTATATCGAACACGCCATTTTCCTTCATCACGTAATGAAAAGGGCTATGAATTTATTGACGTCAAAAGGCGGACAGAAGAGTTTATCTGATTCTAGGTGGTACTATTGTGTGATTTGTTTGCCGAGGTAGACATCAGAGGCGAATGAGAGAAGCTTTGTTGGCGCGCTACATCAGTTGAGGACTGTCTACTGTCCATGCCTCTGCTGTGAGACGTACACGTTGTTATGGGCCAGTCACGGCTCTAGTGTCACTGAAGATTGTCTAAGATGATGGCACCTCACCTCATCTCAGGCAAGGTGATGGGAAGGTGTGATGCCTTTGGGGGTTGGTAGGCACGGGGTGAGACCCACGACAGCCATGCCGACATACTTGCCTAGGTACGGGTACTTAGTGCATTGTTTTCCTCAGACGTGCTTTGCATACAATATCCCCTCACTTTTCTTGCCGAACCAAATTCAACTCTGTCACTCTCAACATTCGACTGGGTGGGAGACCCCTTGTAGCTGGGGCCGCCATCATCCTTAGTGATATCTGGTCAAATCTATGTTGCTGATGAGAACCTTGATGGCTCATGATGAGCAATTGATGAAGGGGCCAAAATGGGTCATTCGAAAGTAATGGGGCAGATCCAGCGCCAGCATTCACGAGTGGTGCTTGAAGTCTGGAATCTCAAGGCAAGAGATGACTTCCATCACGAGAAAACAATGTTGACGAATATCGCAGGAAATCTAGCCACCATGGATACATCTCGTCGGCGTCTCGTTGTAGCGGAGCAGGTGTACGATCAAAGACCACGTTCGAGGAGGCCCAATTCCACGCCCCCCTCGGAGTCAAGTCAACCCCATCCTCCATGGTTGGGGACGTATGTGGGGGGTTCTGCAACTCTGATCTTCGCGGCTCCAGCTTCCTCGCCCCTCACGCACCGTGGAGAGTGCGGAGTCGACTGATGATGCTGGACTCTACCTTAGGTAGGCGGGTGCTGTCCGATAAGGGGTTCACACAATAATGCTCATAGGAACAGATACGTGGGAACTTGGTCACGATAATCATCCCCGACGAGACTCGATGCCACTGTCAACATGGGCAGACCTTCGACTGAACAAGCTCACTGGGGAGCTTTCGGTAAAAGTCAAGCTATCGCAGGCAGTGATGCGTACGGGAGCCAGCTTTCCTCCTGGCAGCCCCTCTCCCCTACCTCACCTCAGGTTGCTCGCTCCGCCGAGCAGCCAGGCCAGGGTACTCGGTAGATTGGATCATCGGACGATCCGCTGCTGGCCGGCGGATGCTCTCGACCGGTAGGGCTGGATGGGTCACACCACCCCCCGGAGACTTTGGAGCTTCCAAGTGCCATGCGAGATTATCAGATCTTGATGGTTCTCTCCATTGGTCGAAGCTTTCCAGCAGAGGAAATGATTCACAATTCCGTTCCTGGCGCGATGTTCCCTTGACGCCGTCCGCTGTTACGGCCTGCCGGAAGCGACGGCATCTCCAAACACCAAAGACCAGTCAATGGCAGGGACCCACAACCTTCTGTGCGGATTTGTAGCATTTATAACGGTAAATGTCAGGGAGAAGAAGCAATTCACGCCTAGACACAAAAGGGCGACAGCTTTGACTACAAAGCAACCCGGCTCCACAGGATCTGAGACCATTGGATGCTTTAATGAGTTGCGCATTTTTGGATGAAGCCATCGAGATATTGAACCTGACAGTGCATTTATAGCTGATGATTCGCCCATGTGATGGTATTTCTGAGCCGAGTTGCGCGCATAACTCGCAATCAAATGCGTAGGCTAGATCAATTTCGCTGTGGTTGCAAATTCGACTTGCCCTCACGTGGCGACGTCATCTCCCTGCACTCCGGTGCCGGATTCTGCATTTGCCTCGCGTGCCTAAGGCACAGGGGAAACTCCCCAGTCGGGACTAGCGCAGATCTAATCAGTGTGGACCTTGGAAGCGAGGAACTGGAAGTCAAGGGGAAGAGACGGAACTTGGAAGGCACGAAGGCAAAAGAGGGAAGGGGGTCGCCAACACTGCCCACCTGCCTGCCCCGTCGGATGCTGAGAATTGGAAGGTGAGGTGCCCGCGCACTTTCCGTACCTGAACCACCCGTTCTCTCCCCCACAGCAAGCAGCAAGCGCAAGTAACAGCAACCACAGCCGCAGCCGCATCTGCCCGATGGTACAGCTCTTTCTCGACCCGACACCTCTGGTTTTTGGCTCTTTGCAACGAAAGAAAAAAAGGCAAAAGGAGCAGAGGCCACGACCCTTTTGAGTACCCTCAATACCTTGAAGATTTTCATCAGCCGACGAATACCTTATTTCTGGCCTTAATGTAAAAGCCCTCGTCTTGAGTAGGCTGATTTATTTTGTCAGGTGCGGTGCACGACTGCCGACCGTACCTGCCTTCCCTTCCTTACCTAACAGTAACCGTCAACCTGGGGAGGTGCAACTTCCGCCCTGCTTGCGCCAGCCCTGGTTCATCGGCCCAGATTCGCCAAAAATCGGCCCATTTAGCGAGCCAGCCCAGCCAGACGCAGTTTCCTCAGTCCTGCCGCTCCCTCTACGAATACTCTACAGTGGCCAACCCCCCGCAGGATCTGATAACCAAAAGAACCGAACGAATCTGTTCTCCGCACTCAACCAGACGTCTGCACCTCATATTTTCGGCGACTTGAGAACACCAAGCCTGCCCACTCTCCCAACACGACCATTCTTGACGACGTGCGAGGCAGAAAAATTCCAGCGCATCGACGGTCGCATGTAGTCCCCTCCACGATGTCGACCGACGCTGTCAGCGCTCCAGTCTCGGAGCCTGCACCTGTGCCGGCGCAATCCACGACTGGTGACCACGACGAGGAGCCGACCCTTGGCCAGATTGAATGTGCAAAGCCCGCCTTCCTCCACTCACCCCCCGACAGCAACAATGCGCCCAAGTCGGAAGCCAGCGACTCTGAGCTCAGCGACCTCGACGACGATGCCGTTGACCCATCTGCTGCTCCTGCGACCCAAGATGAGGCGCCGCCGCCCGAGGACGACATTGGCGAAGTCCTTCCCGACCACTGGTCCGGGACTGTCCCTGTCTTCAGGCCCACGATGCATCAGTTCAAGGACTTCAAGCTATTCGTACGCCCATGCCTCTCCCTTTCGTGCCCTTTGTCGCCGTGTCTTTTCATCGGCTGACTGTGACTGTGACTGTAGATGACCAAAGTCGATCATTATGGAATGAAGTCCGGCATCGTCAAGATTATCCCTCCTCCCGAGTGGAAAGAAAACCTCCCCCGACTCGACGACCTGGTGAAGCAGATCCGAGTCAGAGAACCAATCAAACAAGACATTATGGGATCGAATGGAACCTATCGCCAAGTCAATATTCTTCATCAAAGATCCTACAACCTCCCGCAGTGGCGACAACTTTGCGACCAGAGCGAACATCAGCCCCCAGCGCGGCGAGGCGAGCGCCGAGCCAACGTCGAAAAGCCGAAACCCCGATCCGCCCCCAAACCTCGTACAGAAGCGAAATCAACGTCGGCCGGGTCTAGAAAGCGGGGCCGAGGTCGACCGCGCCGGGGTAAGGCCAAGGGCAAGAACCAGGATGATGAGGACGATGCCGAAGAAGAACAAGAGGAAGAGAAGCGACCGATGACGCCTGTTTCCCCTAAGCCGGCTGCGGATGCGGACCCCAAGGTCAAGGTCAAGAAAGAAGAAGTCGTCGACTCTGTAGAAGACCCGGGAATGGATGTTGACGAAGATGAGCCACCAACCGTTGGCAGAATGGGTCGGATGGGTGGCGCGAGACAAGCAAAGCCAAAGACCCAGACTGTTTCGGCCCGTCGGAAGTACAGCAAGAGAGAAGGGTCCGCGATGATTGACGAAAAGGCGTTTGAAGACTTTGACTATCAGATGGATGTCTCTGACTATACCCCTGAGCGCTGTGAGGAACTCGAGAGGATATACTGGAAAACCCTCACGTACGCCCCGCCGTTGTACGGCGCAGATCTCATGGGTACTCTCTTCGACGAATCGACAGAAATGTGGAACTTGAACAAGCTTCCCAACCTGCTGGACGTTCTTGGGACAAAGGTTCCCGGCGTTAACACGGCCTACCTCTACTTGGGCATGTGGAAGGCCACTTTCGCATGGCATTTGGAGGACGTTGATCTTTACAGCATCAACTATCTCCACTTCGGCGCCCCTAAACAATGGTACAGCATTTCACAAGCTGACGCCCGCCGTTTCGAGGCTGCCATGAAGAACATTTGGCCCACGGACGCCAAGGCTTGCGACCAGTTCCTCCGTCACAAGGGATTCTTGATTTCCCCATCGCACCTCAAGCAGCACTACAATATCACCGTTAATAAGTGCGTTTCGTACCCGGGTGAATTCGTCGTAACCTATCCCTACGGTTACCACTCTGGATACAACTTGGGCTACAACTGCGCCGAGGCTGTCAACTTTGCGCTCGACTCTTGGCTTCCCATGGGCAAGATCGCCAAACGTTGCGAGTGCGCACAGGCGCAAGATAGCGTGTGGGTTGACGTATACGATATCGAACGGAAACTCCGTGGCGAACCCACTCCCGAGTACGAGGAAACTGACGAAGAAGACGAAGAGGACGAGGATGAGGATGAAGACGACGCTACTGGCCTTCCGTCTCCTCCTGGTAGTAACGGCATTGTCAAGTCGGCTCGCAAACGAAAGCGCGCTGCTGGGGACAAAGAAGGCAGGGCAAAGACCAAGCGGATTCGTCTCAAGGTCAAGACGCGCGCAGAGCCGACGTGCTGCCTTTGCCCCAGCGATATCCCTGGTGCAGAAGTCCTGCCAACAGACGATGGCCGCAAGGCCCATCGGATGTGCGCGCTATACCTGCCCGAGACATACATCGATACCGTCGACGACAAGGAGGTCATTGCGAATGTTGCCAACATCAACAAGGAACGCCTGGATCTCAAGTGTCTCTATTGTCGGTCCAAGAAGGGTGCCTGCTTCCAGTGCTCCCAGAAGAAATGTGCTCGGGCCTACCACGCCACATGCGCGGCTGCCGCGGGTGTCTTTGTCGAAGAAGCCGAAGTCCCGGTCTTTGGCGAAGATGGAACCGAGTACAAGGAGCAAGCGTTCGAGTTCAGCTGTCGCTTCCATCGTACCAAGCGTGATAGGAAACATACTGGTGACTCCTTGGAGGATGATGTGCGGATTCGCGAGGCTGCAGCAGCACTTACCAAGGGCGACATCTGCCAGTTGCAGTACTTCAAGGGCGACATCTTTGCCGGTGTCGTGGTTGAGAATCGCGCCGATGAGCAGATGTTCCTCCTTGATATCATTCCTAATGGGTATGTCTCTATCGACAACTTTGATCAACAAATTCTGACGTGCTGTAGTGACCGTCTCGAGGTTGAGTGGAAGTGGCTTCTACTGCCCGACCCATCTGACTACCACCTTCCAAAGGCGTCTTCCAAGGCTATCCCGATGCCATCATCGCAGAAGGCAAAGGAACGACTGAATGCGAAGCGCCCTGCTGATGAGATTCCCCGCAAAGATGCTCCCTTTGTCGAAGGCTACACATGGGCAGAGTTCCATCCATGCAACGAGTGTACTAATCCAAACCAGACCAAGGTTGATCTGTCGAAGGACAGCCAAGTCTGGCACTATCTCGGCAAGACGTCGACGGAGGCGAAGGCACAGTATTCTGATGATCCCGCCAAGCAGCTGCACAATCCCAAGAGCAACTTTCTTGACACCATTCCCAAGCCTCCCAAGCCTGTTTCCGCAAGCACGTCGCATCGCAGGGTGTCGGTTGTTCCCCCACAACCAGCCCCATTGCCAGTGTTTACGCCTGGAGTCGCTGTTCAGAATGGGCCCAAGTCGGAGAAGCCATACGTATACAAACCCAGGAAACCTGTCGAAACCAACTACGCTGGGACCGGTTCTTTCACCACGCAAAAGTCCACACCCAAGGCTTCTGCGCCCCCGACTCCCGGAGGACAGCAGATCCACTTCGGAGCTGATCCTCGATACCCGATCCCGGGTACCCAGTTTGTTCAACAGAAGTTTGCTCCCGACGTACATCAACAATATATGCCTCGTCCCGCTCCAGCTGGGCAGGGCTACTACGAGGCTCCGAACTCGATGCAACGGTCGAGCCCGTACAGCACCCCGGGACCGCAACCCGCAGTCAGCGCGCGGTCCACGCAACAAACGTGGTCGACGCCGTCGCAGAACTCCAGACCTCCTTTACCACACAGTACTTCGCAAGGCTCAACTCAGCAGAACCATCGGAGATACTCGGCCGCACCAACGCCTTCTGTTGCTATGAAATATGCATTCTTCCAGGTTCACCACAACAGGTCAGATTTTTCCAACCCTAGGGACTTGATTAATAATACTCACACACTCCATAGAGACTCGAAGACGTACCGAACTCCCTATGCTCCATGGGGAGGATTCACCAACGGATATGAAGGTAACCTCCGAGCTCATCTCATGAGGACGTCTCCAGAAGCCTTCTTCAAAAACCGGCAAGGCTCCATTCAGGGAGGCACGCCGACACCCGCTCCGAACACGGGCCCGCAGGGACCTGCTTACGGCGGTCCATACCACAACACACTCACGAATGTCATGCCTCAAGGTTCTATCGGAATGTATGGTGTCAAAACAGCGGCCCCTTATTCTTCACCATCGCCGCAGGTCCCTCAGAATCACGCCAGGACGCCATCTTACTCATCGATATCTCCCTCTCCTGCATCAGGCAACTCTCGACCCAGCTCGCATGGCCAAAGTCAGGGCTGGCAGCCGCAGCAGCCACAGTCGGCGCCGCTACATCCAGCGATCCGGCCGCAGTATGGAGGTTGGGCAAACCAGCCACAACAGCAGCATCCTCGGCCTCAACACACTCAACCAGCGCAATATCAACCCTCGCAACAGCCTGTCTCTCAGCAGTCTCCTGCTAGCCAGCCTCAGTCTACCCAGACGAAATCTCAGCCTACAGCAAAGCCCGCTGCGCCGAAGGTGCAGTACAAGGTATGACCACCTAATACATGACATTTCCCCAAGTAGAACAAGCCCAAGCTAACTCAATGATAGATCCCCGAGAAGCAGACACCGGTTCCCCTCCCGGCCAAGTATCTCGCAGCCATGGGCAAGATGCCTTCGGCTGCTACTCCATCCAAGACCAGTTCGAAAACAACTGGAGCGTCTGCGCAAGGTACGAACCCACCCCCGGCTGCTCGCCCCGGGAAGGATGCAACCCAGGAACCGCCGACGGCAGCCATCAATGGCTATACCGCGCAAACGGCTTCTCAACCGT